CCGAGGCTAACCTACTTTCTGACTTGCGCCCCATCCTACGACAGCCCAAAGCCTGAAGAGTATGACCTATTACTGAAGACCATGCAAGAAAAAGTTGTCAACCTCTCCCTCAATGAATGCCAGTGGAAACAATTAAGCCACTCTTTCTGTTAGGCTCGGCGGCTTGGGTGTCTGCACCGCCACCCAAATTGCTGCCCCAGCCTTCCTGTCTTCCTTCTCAGCATCAGATGACCTGCTTAAGGAAATTCTACCTGACACCCTGAGTGATGTAGCTGAGATACAGGATTCCCAGTACACGGAATGCGACACGAAATGGGGTGCCATGGCAGACCCAGCACTTAGACCAGCCATGTTGAAAGCCAAGAAACAATCCAGTTGGGACAGCCCCATTATAGACAAAGAAGCCACAGCTTTGCTGCAGGCAGCAACAACCCCCAGTAATCGTGCACGCCTCACAGCTGTGCAGGCACCCCATGCAGGGGGCTTCCTTTTGACAGTCCCCTATGTCTGCGACAGGCACACGTCTTGATCCGCAGGAGCTCCGTATTGCAGTCGCTCTCCGCCTTGCTGCCCCTATCCACACTGTTCATAGGTGTATTTGCGGCGAGGCAGAGGCAGACGAATATGGATTACATGGCCTGCACTGTGGAAAATCTGGCGGTTGGCATTCCAGACACGACGAAGTCAATGGCATCATTAAAAGGAGCCGAGCCTTGCCTCTGCCCAGTGTCCAGCAGAGAGAGAGAGAGCCCCGCAATCTATTGAACCATAACTCTGCTATCTATGCCGGTCGACCAGATGGAATCACATTACGCCCTTGGAAGGGTGGCAGACAATTGGCATGGGGCTATACTTGTGTATCCACCCTGGCAAACACATACATCAACCTCTGCCGGCACAGCAGGAGCCGCGGCGACACGCAGAGAAAGAGACAAGTCAGCCAAGTACAGGCAATTAGATCATCGGTACAACTTCGTTCCAATAGGGTCTAAGACCCTAGGCCCATGGGGACAGAACGCAAGAAGGTTTCTTAAGGATCTTGGTTCCAAGCTCATTGACACTACAAGAGACTCTAGAGCAGCAAGCTTTCTCTTCCAGCGCCTCAGTGTGGCGATCCAGAGGGGAAATGCCCGCTGCGTCCTCGGAGTTCGAAGAAATCTACAGCCTCTAGGAAACAAACTTTCCCTTATTTCTTCTTAATGTTCTCCTTTTGTAAGCAATCAGATATGTAACTATATAACCTTGTATAATAAAATGTACAACATAAAAAAGGGGGTGGGGGTAGGAGAAGCGAACACTCATACGTATTCAGTGTTAAATGACAAGTTTCTCTCTGAATGCTCTGTGTTCCCTTCTTTGAGGCTGTGGGTCATTACAATTGCACCAGAGGGGTGCAATTTAACACAAGGGGCACACGCACTAGGGGACACAGGTGGAAACTGAGCGCCCAAATGAGCCACAGAGATATTAGAAAGAACTTTTTAGTGTCAGAGTTGTTGACAAATGGAATGCATTAGGAAGTGATGTGGTGGAGGCTGTTACGAATCTTACTAGGATTCTGCCATTACTCTTGATTCTTATATTACTTATTGTCTTGTTCTCTAATTAATATTGCATCCAGTTGTATGATATGAGATTTTTGTATGTTATATATTATAGCATGCTGTAGTGTGCCTGAGTTGCATTATATTGTACGAGGCTTTTGTGTTAGATTTCTCATGTAGTTTCTCCGTGTGGATGGTTGACCATATTTGGATATGGCCAGTGTGGGAACATTGTTGTCAATCGAGTGTTTATAGTTTTACCTTGATTAATTCCCGTATTTGGTTGCCGTATTATTGTATGGAATGTTGTACCAGTGTTTACTACTCTTTAGATTGATAATGTTTTGAATATTAGTACTACATTTTGTTATTAGAATTTCCACAATGTTTATTTGGATGTTTAGTTGATTTTTTGGTAGACGCTTGGCCTGCGGACCAAAGTGCGTGCAGAAGTGTGGCGGCTGTTGTCGAGAGGAGTCGTGTTTTAAGTTAAGTCATTGGTCACTGTTATTTTAGCCCATATCAATGTTAATTATCTGGTTAGATGATTGTGTATATCCCATTTATTAATCCATGTTCTGGTGATATTGCTCATGTCTCAATAATTAATTTCATTCTATGATATTGCATGCTGAAGAATGTTTCTGGCTATTATTTATACATTTAATTGTTGTTACGTTTGTCCCCCTTAGCATAAATATATTGTTCTCCATTTTATGCAGTGATGTATCTATACCCCTAGACATCTGTTGGCAAGGCCGATTGTTACGGACCCGAGCCCAGCGTCCGAGCACGGAGCTGTGACGACCACGCCATCTGTGGGTCAGCTCCCGAAACCCCCTCCAAATGGACAGCCCCATCTAGTGAGGACAGGATATACCGGCCACAGGGGCTGGTTTCCTGTCCTGTCCTGTCCTGTCCTCCTGCTCGGACGCTGTGGTCGGGTCCGTAACACCGATTTATTATCATTTCTTTACACTGCGGGGAGAAGAACCTTATTTAGCCTCAAGGGTGGTAACAGAGGCTGACTCCATACACAGTCTCAAATGTAGATATGATAGAGCCCAATAGGCTCAGGAACCTGTACACCAGTTGATTGACAGTTGAGAGACGGGACCAAGGAGCCAGAGCTCAACCCCCGCAAGCACAACAACAGTGATCATAATACCTCACCGTCCTTAACCTCTCCTAATGCTGTATAAGAGTCATGTTCGCAAACTAGGAAATATTTGGCTGGCTGATCCAACTCTTAGGCAGGTAACCTGAGGTGCGGTACAGGTAGCGTAAGACTCTTTGATAATATTAGTTGTTCAAGTTCCTCTTCCCACTATACTGCCTGAGGGGGCTGGTTTGATCTTTCCTGGCCTCCCTGAGTGTGAGTGTGTGTGTGTGTGTGTGTGTGTGTGTGTGTGTGTGTGTGTGTGTGTGTGTGTGTGTGTGTGTGTGTGTGTGTGTGTGTGTGTACTCACCTAGTTGTGCTTGCGGGGGTTGAGCTCTGGCTCTTTGGCCCCGACTCTCAACTGTCAATCAACAGGTTTACAGGTTCCTGTGTGTGTGTGAGTGTGTTCACCTAGTTGTGCTTACGGGGGTTGAGCTTCGGCTCTTTGGTCCCGCCTCTCAACTGTCAACCAACACGTGTACAGGTGTGTGCGTGCGTGCGAGGAGTCACTCAACCCAGGGTTGTAACTCTCTAGGCATCACGAGGCACTGTGCCACTCTCACCACAAAACCCCGATACAACCACCCCCAATCCCGTCCTCCACCAGTGTTACCAACGACAGACAACATAAACACACAATTACAAAAAATAAATGACTTTATTTGTTATACAAAAGACGAATTGGCGCACAAAAAATGCGCAACAGCTAATTGCGCTCACCAATTACAGCCTTCCTGGAAGGTACCTTCATGTAGCGACGTATATAATATATATATGTACAAGCACATGTACACAAATGTGTATTTTAGTGGACATAAATACATCCGGCTTATTATAATAACTTCACACAACATATAATTAATAACATATATAATATATAATAACAGATACTTCACACGTAACTAATAGTCTCTAGTTAGTGAAGCGATTAGCACAGATGTACATATATATATATATTTGTCTAAATAAATATATATCCCTTAATAAATGTATATGTATAAATAGATATATTGTTTAATAAACATTTGTCTAAATAGATATATATATACCTTAAAAGATATATATATTTATATCTAAATGGACATATGTGTAATTACACAAACAGAATGAATGATATGAATAAAAAGTAATTATGTTGGTGAATTATATATGACATTATATATTATAATGTGGGTATATTATATTTACTTGAAATAAATAACTCAATAAATTAATGGGACATGACACGATGGGTCTATGCATGACCCAAGTGAGCTAGACATGACACAAGTGAGCTAGACATGACCCAAAGTGAGCTAGACATGACACTAGTGAGCTAGACATGACACAAGTGAGCTAGACATGACACAAGTGATCTAGACATGACACAAGTGATCTAGACATGACACAAGTGATCTAGACATGACCCAAAGTGAGCTAGACATGACACTAGTGAGCTAGACATGACACAAGTGAGCTAGACATGACACAAGTGAGCTAGACATGACACAAAGTGAGCTACTCAGGTACAATTGTAAGCTACTCAGGTCCCTCGGTGAATCTAACAATAAATTGATCCATTCCCCCCTTGAAATCCATTTTATAAAATCCGCACTCGCTTTAAACTGTAAACATTAAGACCACAAGAGGATACAATCCTCTTTAATGTGTAATTTAATCCTCCTTGGACTGCAGTTTAATCCTCTTTGGAGTGCAATTCAATCCTTCAGTTCTTCTTAGAGGACTATCTAATCCTCATTAAAATACAATTCAATCCTCCTTAAATTGGAATTCAGTTCCCATTAAAGTTCATTGGGATGCTTAGGCTATAGGAATAACAGATTCAACTATATATCAAATAAATAATTATAAATATATAACAAATAAATAAGTTATGTATATATATACATATATAACTGAAAACTCACACCCCAGAAGTGACTCGAACCCATACTCCCAGAAGCAACGCAACTGGTATGTACAAGACGCCTTAATCCACTTGACCATCACGACCGGACATAATGAGGTGATAGCCTAAGCTATTTGAACCACCCCACCGCCGGCACTCGGATAGTAATCTTGGGCATAGCATTTTACCAAATCACCTCATTCTTTGGGGCACACGTGAGGAACACAAATGCGAACAAGCCTGAATGGTCCCCAGGACAATATGCAACTGAAAACTCTGGGAGTATGGGTTCGAGTCACTTCTGGGGTGTGAGTTTTCAGTTGCTTATTGTCCTGGAGACCATTCAGGCTTGTTCGCATATATATATATATATATATATATATATATATATATATATATATATATATATATATATATATATATATATATATATATATATGAGCGTGTAGAGCAATGCAGGAGGTTTATATATTTTCGGTGTAGTACTCGCCGTTTTCTATCTGGACACAGTTCAAATTCAAAATATTTTGAACACATTGGTAAATTCCGCTGCATCTGTTCCTTGAAGCTATTCAAACACTTCCCATTTGAAGGAATATTCGAACGACACGGCCGATAGATGATTATATTCTTGTTTTTTCCTTTTTTCCTTGGAAAGCTTCCGATTCCAGGACAAACTTTTGTTGCTCCAAGAGACAGATGACGTCGCTGGAAACGGCAGTGTCTCCTTCTTGAACGCGCGAAGTACTTCGAACATAGTTTTTTTTTACATCTGTTTGCTTGAGGAAACCAGTGTTGACGAAGAGCAGTTCCAGCTGCGGTCGACGTCGTTGACAAGATAGTGCTTACAAGACAACAAATAAATCCAGCTGCGTTTGATGTCGTTGACAAAACAACAATGAGTTGTAGCTGCGGTCGACTTTGCTGGTAAGCCAGAGCTGACGAGGAGCAGTTGTAGCTGCGGTTGTCGTTGACAAGCCAGTGGTGACAACGAGTTGATGAGAGCGTCGCTGGTGAGCGTAAGCGTTGACGATTACGCTGACAGCGTTCTCTTCAGTTCGATGAGGTACTTGAGAGCCTTTGGACCACACTTGTACACCAGTTGTTTCTCGGACACCGGCTGCAGCGCTCCAGTAGTGTAGTGGTACCTGTAGAGGCGAGGGCAGAGGTAAGAGCAAGTACTTATCATAGTGCTACCTGGTAACGTATGAGCACCTGGTATGGAACTTAATTCCTAGTCTTGAAAACTCATTTCCTGAGATTGATTGACTCGTAATACGATATTAGAAGGAATATTTACTTTCCATGTACGAAAGATTAGAGACGATTCCTCTGGGACATGTATATGGATTATGAACAAGAGAGCTAAGGCCTCCCAAACTTACCTAAGGCCTCGAGCGAAGTTATCGTAGGAGAGGTTGGGTTTATCAGCCCTCTGGCCCCACATCCTGGCGATGACAGAGGGCTGGACCAAGCGGAAGGTCCCCTGCGACTGTTCCTCCCACCGTATCAACGAAGGATTCGTCTGAGAGTCAGCCAGGAGGCGGATGACGAACTCCCAGTTCTTAGGTCCTCGCTCTGTAAGATGGAAACGTTAGTGTTATTATATATATTTATTATATTATTATTATTATTATTATTATTATTATTATTATTATTATTATTATTATTATTATTATTATTATTATTATTATTGTTATTATCATCGTTACCCACTGGAATCACAACTCGTAATCACCTCGTTTCTTGGCGTCTGGTCGTATCTTCTTGAGAGGGTCACTGGAGAGGACAGGAGTGCCATCTCCTCCGGCGGACATCTGGGCAACAGGCTCGGGAGTGACACTGGCACTGCCTGGATGTGGGAGAGAGAGAGAAGGAACGATAAACAAGAGATAAATAGATAATAGATTATAGTAATAACAAATGAATAATAACAATGAGTTTAATGCACAAAGAAATCACATGAACGTGATGAATAAATGAGAAACATCAGTAGGAGGCTTCAGGAGGATTCGAACCGATGCTCTGGGTACTCCCAGATCCACAAGTTCGAATCCTTCTAAAGCCTCCTAATGCTTTTCCCATTGGGTTTAATTTTGTTTATGATAACAATTCTTATTATGGGTAGAGAACTAACGCATGGCTTCAAGGGGCAGTGATTAGACTGTGGCTCGTTCCCAACAGGGACGGAATGGGACCCAAGAACTAGATCTGACCCTCCACAGGCACAACTAGGCAATGAGAGCATGCGAGACACACACACACACACTTACCATAGTAAATGGACTGCTCGTAGAGATCCATCTCTTGGAGTCCTCCGCTGAGAGGGTCGGCAGGTTCACTGGCGTCGATGTATCTGTCCAGGTCCTTAATATCTTCGTTGGTGAGGTCCCAGGGGTCAGCTGAGAGGGTGTCGCTGGTCCCCCAGGGGTACTCCACGTGTGGGGAGGCGCTCCCAGTCTCCTCGTACTTCAGCTCACCTGGGAAGAGACAACAACGGGTGAGACAGCTGCGACTGGCAACGAGGATGTCTTAATCCAAATGTTCATTCGCGAGAGAAAAACAGTCTAGTATTGTCAGCTCCGAGCGTGAACTGGAGCGTTGCTTTAAGCGCCTCGTCAGACACATGCTTAACGGGTTGATTGGATGTATGTTTAATGTTATTTCCGCAGGAGAGAAACAATGACTGGGGAGGGGGACGGTGGTGGGTGGGGGGGTGTAGAGGATGTCGTTAGGATGGGCGGAGACCGGACAACAGGGGTCAAAAAGGGCGGGTGTCGTGACACACACATACACAAACACACACATACACAACCCTCTCCAGGGTTCTCCAGAAAGCCAGAGCTCAACCCCCGCAAACACAACTAGGTGAGTACAACCCTCTCCACAGCCTCCTGCAGGAGATTGTCTAGAAAATACTGACGGAAAGAGATTGACACAGACATAAACAGACATTCACACACAGACATAGAGGAGCGTCGACTCACCAGCATCTCGGTCATGTCTCATCTGGGTGAACTCCTGGTGGAAGACGGGTCCGTATACGGCGCCCACGAGGCTGCAGAAGTCCTGGCAGGTGTACTGCAGGAGAAGGCTGCCGCAGGTGTTTCTAAATACCCAGAGGTCCACGGTGGTCTGGTCCAGACCCCGACGCCTGCACACGCTTCCAGCCCAATCCAAGCAGTCCTGGAGACACACAGATTGTCAAGCATCCGGTATGACAGTCATTTGTTAAGACAATGAAGGCTGAGAGAACCTATTACTAGAGCTCATTATCAACCGAAGCCTAAGAGTATCACACATATCCAAGGACCTAATTACAATTATATCTAATAGTACAAGAAAACTAAAATATTAACACTTAATATATATACTAACATCTCTGGAAAAAGTATCCAGAGATACTAGCATCTCTGGAAAAAGTATCCAGAGATACTAGCATCTCTGGAAAAAGTATCCAGAGATACTAGCATCTCTGGAAAAAGTATCCAGAGATACTAGCATCTCTGGAAAAAGTATCCAGAGATACTAGCATCTCTGGAAAAAGTATCCAGAGATACTAGCATCTCTGGAAAAAGTATCCAGAGATACTAGCATATCTGGAAAAAGTATCCAGAGATACTAGCATCTCTGGAAAATATATCCAGAGATACTTGCATCTCTGGAAAAAGTATCCAGAGATACTAGCATCTCTGGAAAAAGTATCCAGAAATACTAGCATCTCTGGAAAAAGTATCCAGAGATACTAGCATCTCTGGAAAAAGTATCCAGAGATACTAGCATCTCTGGAAAAAATCAGTGAATTGTGGAAAGGAAGAAAAGAACTGAATCCAGAATCTTTTCAAAAGGTGGAGTTCTGTCATTATGGATAATAACTGCGAGAGCAGCTGTCTAGTGTGAGGACTGTCAGTCAGGTCCTCCTCTAAGGCCTCGAGGAAGCTGAGTAATAACTTGATGTTAGTAACTTCACTATCTCCAGAACCTGTCCAATACATTTGGAGGTTTCTAGTGTTCTAATTCTGTCATTATTTTAGATGCCTTTGAAGAAGAGCTTTAGATAAAAACAATGAGTCACAATAACGTGGCTTCGGTCCAGGACGGACCGAAGCATCGTCCTTTCTCCATCTTCTGGTGGGTGGTGTGGGAATCGCACCTTTTGGTATAGGTCTTAAGCGAGCCCTTTGAAATGCTTAAAAAAAGCCTTATTGAAGAAGGGCCTGGAGGCATGCCCTTTAGAAAGCCCTGAAGGGGACCGCGGGAGAGAGAGAAAGAGACTTTTCAAGGAAGAACCCTACTGAAGAAGAGTGGAATAGACCTCTGATGACGGTACTAACCTCGCCTCTCCAGTCACTGACGTCCATCTTGGAGAAAGCTTCTATCTGCTCCAGAAGGCCGGTGTTATAAGTCTCCTCGCCGGGGTAGTGAAGCTCCAAGCCTGGACAGTAGGAGTCAAGGTCGCCAAGATACGTCTGACACAGGTTGTCGATGCTCGCGCCGTGGCCGAAGAGTGGCTCGTCGAACGTGAGAGACGCCCTCAGATCCTCGTAGTTGGAACCCTCCATTGTAAATGGAATCGATTTGTGTAGATATGAAATAGAAGTTTCAGCTTATATATCTCCCGCTAGTAATGTCGCACGAAAGTCGTCTATATAACACGAAGTGGCAAGATGAAGACGAGCTCCGCACTCTTGCTGAAGAAGGAGAAGACTGCCGAGCTCGGCTACCATCCGCCATTTTAAACCAGACTCTGCCACCAACACGGGGAAATCTATGACGTCAAGACTAACGTCTTCCTATTTGTTCACGTCACGGTGTCTACCTGGCCATGAGGGCCTCATCGCGGCACCTGGCGACTGGCCGCAACATCTGCATAAATCAAAAAACACAGACAAAACCTCCCTTATTATGCACCAGTTGTGTCATGTGTCGCTGGAACACCTAGAGGCTCTCCATATGGGGGCATATTGAGGCAGCTGGTCACCTCAGTAGCCTCTATTGGGGCGCCGTAAACGTTTGGTGGGAATACTCCCCCTGTGACCTTGGAATTATGTCATTCAGTTCTGAAGCCTAAGCGACGAATTCTCGGTTTTTTTGTTTACATCGGTGGAAAGGCGCGTCTTTGCCAACGAAAATTCTGAACTACAAGGAAAGTTGTGAGTTAAATTATTGTAGCATAAACTGCCAGGATAATATTTATTTTTATTTATTTATTTATATACAAGAAGGTACATTAGGTTTGTGAGAATACATAGTATAGTACAGTAATTACACTCTTGTAAAGCCACTAGCACGCGTACGCGCAGCGCAAAATATATATATATTTTTGAGTAAAACCAATATGTTGGAGCCTTATTGATATCAGTTTTATTTCGATATGTTTATGTTCCTTGATGGGAAATTTTGAATTCGAAGTATATTTTATGTTTAGTGGATGTATATGTGTGTATGTTACGTCTGGCAGATCAGTAGGGAATAGGTGCAGGTGAGACAACTTCAGCCACTGCAGAAAAAATCAAGAAGTTCCATGGATAACATCCAGGATACAGGAGCACCTGGATAATATCCCTCAGTGGGAGACGTGAAGCCTAGCAACAGGTGCAGTATTAGCTAAAGCTGTAAACTGTGGCAATAGTAATTAGTTACATCATTGGCAAGACGAATTAAATCGTACCAGCATTAGTAGTAATTGTCCTGATAATCACTCAATAACCACAGCACCAAATTATGTAACGCTGCACCGTAAATGATCCACACACACACACACACACACACACACACACACACACACACACACACACACACACACACACACACACACACACACACACACACACACACACACACACTTGTAACGAAGTCTTGCGCAACGTCAGCCTTAATTAAGGTGCAGAACAAGACTATGCAACACTTGGAGGACATATGACGTCAGGGATCCCTGGATTGCAAGGACGGAGGGAAGAAACTGCTCCTAACACTTGGACCATCGGAAATCGAACTCAGATCCTTAAAAAGTCGTCGCTCTACCGACCAGTCCAAGTGGCTGAACATGAAGATTAAAGGCGTTACATAATATAGCAATATTAAAAGAGCATTATACAACAATTCATTGTGCCGGGGACAGGCAGCCTGAGTATATATATATATGTACCTTAGGCATATATCGAGGTCCCCCTTCACCCCAAGTCGAACTACGGACCCCCCCCCAGAATGCTACCCACAACAGTTGACTAACTCCCGGGTACCTGTGTACCGCTGGGTGAACAGAGGTATCAGGTAGATCGGAAAGGCGTGCATCCATGTCCATCAGGGATTCGAACCCGGGATACCCGAGTGTGAGTCGAGAGCGAACAACGGAGACAAGCCTCGTAGTATTAGTGCCCCCCCCGGCCGCTCCAGTTTCATTCATGGTGGCGGCGCTACTCTCATTCACTGTTTCCCTCAGTGATGAATACAAGGCTCGTAGTACACGCTTCATTCATGGCTTTGTGTTCCCGCCAAATATGCCAGTGTGTCCTCGTATGCCAGGTCTTAGTGTCCTCGTATGCCAGGTCTTAGTGTCCTCGTATGCCAGGTCTTAGTGTCTCCTCATATCCCAGCTCTTAGTGTCCTCGTATGCCAGGTCTTAGTGTCCTCGTATGCCAGGTCTTAGTGTCCTCGTATGCCAGGTCTTAGTGTCCTCGTATGCCAGGTCTTAGTGTCCTCGTATCCCAGCTCTTAGTGTCTCCTCATATCCCAGCTCTTAGTGTCCTCGTATCCCAGCTCTTAGTGTCCTCATATCCCAACTCGGTATAACTCTTGAGTCCAGTACTCTACACTGAGTACACTTTAGTCCTGGACAATGTTTAGGACTAAAGGTATACTTGAGGGTTGGTCACTAAACTATTGTGTTGGCCTGAATAACCCTCCAGAAGTTGATAGGCCTACATCGAACACCAAACCTAAATCAGAAACTATGTATAGTGCTTTAGGCCTAGGGTATTTGGGAGGGATCACGCGACGGAAGTGATTGGGCTTCAGTGGGGTATACATAATCATCCAGAGTGTGTGTGTGTTGTGTGTATGTATGATGTATATCGTAATGGCTTCATATATTTGGATATAGTTAAATAGGTGTTGTGTATGGGTGAAAATGACAATAATTTAGTTTGTTGCAGCCTAGTTCTCTCTCTGTTTCTTTGTCTCTGTCTGTCTGTCTGTCTGTCTGTCTGTCTGTCTGTCTGTCTGTCTGTCTGTCTGTCTGTCTGTCTGTCTGTCTGTCTGTCTGTCTCTCTCTCTCTCTCTCTCTCTCTCTCTCTCTCTCTCTCTCTCTCTCTCTCTCTCTCTGCGGTATCCAGTGACTGTTTCTTCCGCTTGCGGGAAACTCCCGGAGTTCCAGTCTAGCTCAAAAACGTTTGGTGTCTAAGTGTTGTTTAGGTCACGTAACAGCGCCCCCTTCACCCTCTTCTGTGTTCAAGAGAGGCCTATGGAGTAGGCTTCCAACTATTTATTTTTGAGTATATTATATTCGTTTTCTGTTTCCACTTTTGATAAATACTCTTTTTTTTAATAACTCTGTGACTCATTTGGTTAGTTGTTTTGTACCTGTGTCCCCTTTGTTTATGTGTTACTTGGTTGTGTATCACCTGTGTCCCCTTGTTCATGCAGGCTTAGGAGTTTGTTGACAGACAGTGTTATCATGTGACGCAGTGTTACCAGACTGTTGACAGACAGTGTCATCATGTGACGCAGTGTTACCAGACTGTTGACAGGCAGTGTCATCATGTGACGCAGTGTTACCAGACTGTTGACAGGCAGTCTTCATGTGACGCAGTGTTACCAGACTGTTGACAGGCAGTCTTCATGTGACGCAGTGTTACCAGACTGTTGACAGGCAGTGTCATCATGTGACACAATGTTATCAGACTGTTGACATGTAGTGTCTTCATGTGACGCAACATTACCTGGCTGCCAGCTTACGTTTGCACCATAATGACGCAACACACTCCAGCAATACACCTGGAGGCCGCCTCACACAATATCATGTGACGCAACACTCTATCATGCCAGACTGCCCTGCTAGCAGACGCGCCACGCAATTCAACCCCTCAAGCAACATGATCACAGTGTTACCAACACGCTTTAACACTACGGTAAAGTGACGTGCAACTTTGGCTGTTAAGAAAAGTGAAAAAAATTGGTGTTACAGCACTTTATAAAGTACTTATAATTCACGTTAATGGGGCAAAGGCGTATCGAGGTCCCTCGCCCTCTAGGTCTGCTATACTGATCTTGCTCAGTATGCCACCCACAACAGCTGCCTAACTCCCATTGGAGGGTAAAAAAATAGCCTAAGGGCTATGCTATTTTTATCCTTTTTTGAGATGTATATTATTGTTTCAATATATGTGGTTGAACTTGAACCTAACTGCCGGGTACATGTTTTATAGTCATTCTACATAACAACAGGCTGTGTGGGGCCACGCTGCGACTGTCTGCGGTAATTGGTCCTCAGACTATTTTAACGTACAAAATTTTCATTTTCTTAAATATAAATATAAAATATTACATATTTTAATTGTGTTTAGTTTGGCCTTGGTTAGGTTGCTTCTCTAGTTTCCGTTGGCAATATTTTTTGTTATATATAGTATCTGTGTGAAGCATTTACAAGTGCGATTCCCCAACCCGTCCTCGACTCAAGTCCATTACATTCAGCGGTCAACCCCACAGACGCATTCATAAATTTTAACATGCTGGTCATTCAAAACGAGAATTTTCTCAAGTATAAATTAATATTATAATATATTAACATATTGTGTATATATAGGCATAGGATAGATTAGGTGCTTAGGTTCTGTTGGCAATTATTTGTATTTGTAGTACGTGGGTGAAGCATTTACAGCGTTGTGGTTCGAACAAAATTCGTCAGTGAAGCACTTGTTCCGGAAGTGTTCGAACGTCATCAGTTGTGAGTCGTGTGTAAACCGTTTTTCCAGCCCGTCCTCCAAACAAAGATCCAAAAGTGATTCCATGCACCCGCCAAACCCCCTGTTTATGAATGAAAATCGATTTACACACGACTCACAACTGCTGACGTTCCAACATATCCGGAACAAGTGCTTCACTGACGAATTTTGTTCGAATCACAATGCTATAAATGCTTCACCCACGTACTACAAATACAAATAATTGCCAACAGAACCTAAGCACCTAACCTATCCTATGCCTATATATACACAATATGCTAATATATTATAATATTAATTTATACTTGAGAAAATTCTCGTTTTGAATGAACAGCATGTTAAAATTTATGAATGCGTCTGTGGGGTTGACCGCTGAATGTAATGGACTTGAGTCGAGGACGGGTTGGTTTTTCATTCATGAACACCTGGGGGGGGGGGATTGGCGGGTGGATGGAATCACCTTTGGCTCTTTCTTTGGAGGACGGACTGAGGCAGAGGGTCCGTCAGGGTTCATGGAGTGATCTAGGAGCCTGACTCATCAGTGACTAGGCTCCCCCCCCCCCCCCCGCCAAGGTGAGTGTAAGTTCAAGTTCACTCTGTGTGGTTCAAGTTATTATTTGGAGGCCGAGGGTTGTTGTGGGGTTGTGTGTTAAGCTGTGAGGAGACCAGGAGGGTCGTCAGTGTGCCGGAGGTATATTACGAGTCTTTGAAGATCAAGTGTATTACGGGATATTCATGCCCGTGCCACCTTGCATGACGCAGTGTTGCTATGTGACACAACACAGGTGTTTTTTTATCATCCTTCACCGAGGACATCCTAAAGTTTATCACAGTCTCCCATAGTATGTATCTTTCCCATAATTCTGGCATCGGAGGCAGACATGGAGAGAAAGGAAGGGGGGTAGAAATAGCCTAAACTACTCTATTCCTTTGAGATGTATTTCTTTCTTGTCTCAATAAACATACTTGAACTTGAGAGGAAGGAGTCTACCATTTCTGAAAGATTATTACCAATCATAACTAACCTAACCTTTAGAACTCCTCTTTGTACTGAGATCTAAACGTGAAACTGAAATATAAGATACTGATAGTTATCTCTTCATCTCTGAGTGTCTAGAGGGGGAGGGGGGGCCTTCAAGAGGTAATTTTGGGACTTCATGTTGACATCCTGGAGACCATTTTTGGAACTAGTTTATGCCAAATTCTTCCTGTTCTAGAGGAAAAAGCACTGGATTTCCAATTTGCCAAAACGTTTCGTGGACGGATCCGGGCTAAGGATCCGGACTTGACCACACGAACCCGTTAGTGTTTGTGTGTTGTGGACACAAAAAACACATCCGTGTTTGAGTGTGTCCATAAGCTAGAATCTAAATTAGATTCTAATTTAGAGATCATTTGAATAACTTTTTATATTATTATAAGAAAATATTATTTGTTTAAATATTTAGCCTCTATAAATATATATAAATAAATATATATAAATATATATAAATAAATATATATAAAATAAATATTTATTTTTATTTAAATATTGACCCCCACAGTCACTCGTGGGGGTCAGTTTGTGTTCGTGGCACGTTGATAACTCTTCAATTCCGGCGACCCTGACTAACCTATGTCCGTCCCATCCCCCGCACTATTCCACCTGTAAAGTTGGATGAGGCACCATAACGTCCGGCCTCTATCCTTGGACATACATTCTGTCTTATAGATTATCACTAATTTAGTTAACATAACAAAAACGTTCACTTTATAAACATATTGTGTCCTGTATCCTTCCTACAGCGGCCCCGGGGTGGGTATGTTATGCATAACAAACTACTTTCTCTCTCTCCAAGTGACTCAATCTTCTAGTCAAGCATTGATTATTTGTTCTTCCAGCAATGCATAGATAATATGTTCTTCCAACAATGGATAGATTTTTGTTCCCATAGCCATGCATAGATAATTTGTTCTCCCAACAACGCATGGACAATTTACTCCAGCTCGCATTCTCAGTCCTAATTCAAATTATATATTACATTAGATGTCATTTAAATATCCAATATTTATCACCAGTTAATTACCTTGTGAAAAACATTTCAAATGTGGAATTTGAAATATACAGTTTAGTACAGAAAAGTTTAGCGCACACTAACACAAGCTGACGAACGACAAACAGGTGCACAGACAGCAAACGCAAGCTGACGAACAACAGACGGCTGTAGCATATCTATTTAACACAGAAGAAGAACTAAGAACAACATAGATTTATAGATAGTTTCAGTTTTCTATATTTCCCTTTAGCACAAAACGTGAACTTTGTCTTGGCTAAAATAGTACATATTTTGTACATTTTATCCTTGTATATCTATAGACCTATCGTTTCTGGAAACTGTGTTTTTCTTTGTTTAAAGAATAAATAGCGGGATCCATAAAGATGGAGACAGAGAGAAATAGGATTGACAATGTATCCTGGCCGAGGAGGATTTACTGGGCCCAAATTCTTAACTGTAGCCTCTCTTTACCCAACAGTAAAATGGGTACCTGGTTGTAAAACGATTTGGCGGGTCGTATTCCGGAGAATATTAGGATTAAGGACTTGCCCGAAACGCTAGTGGCTGTACAAGAATGTAAGAACTCTGGTATTGTATATATATATATAATAAAAAAAAAATGATGTAGCCTCAGAGTGCAAGTGGTTAACAATGCACCTTGGAGTATCGTTCAGATTTACCATGTTAAGAATCTGTAGACAAGCCAACAAGTACATTCTAGTACTGATAATAGTACCGGCGTTAACTTCACATTTAGTATATATATACTGAGAAGCCGATATAAATTGTCATCCACACTACCGTGGATATAAACATTTCATTCACCTGAGCTCTAGGAGACTCGAACCAAGAACCCCATACGTGTGAGGAAGTAGCTCTGTCCACCCAGCTATGAATAGTCTTAATAAGAAAAGATTCCAGAAGCAACTACTGCTGTTATGCTGGAATTTTCAACTTTACATGACTACTACTTCTGAAGCTCAGAGGAATTAGTGATCCACACCCGGGTCGTCTAAATGGCAAGCTGAATACACTCCAGTGAATATGTCTCTAATGAAGTCATTTAGAGTTGGGCTTAAGGCTTTTCAGTAGCACGAAGAGTTGTTACGGTCGTAATTTAGTAGTTAACTTTCCATCGGGAAAGTATAATTTAGCCCTTAATATCTCAAGGATTAATGTAAACTCAAAGTGTAAATAATATGTAGAAATGGGGCATATTCCTCTCATTACTTTCTTGTCGAAATCAATCAACAAACGTTGATTTCGACAAGAATTGGGGGGTACCCTATCTTACTTAAAGGGGTATTATTTATTATTTTTTATTATATATACCCTTTTATTATTTAAAGGGTATATATATACCCTTTAAATAATAAGGAGAAGTACACCCTTCCACCTCGGACAGACAGACATTTTAATTTAATACCGAATTCTTCTTGGCCTTACTAAGCCTTTGTTGGCTGATTGATCTTATGCCTTAAGCCATACACAAAACATCAAAATAGAAACTTAACATGCTCTACAAAACCCAACAAGTGAAAATTAATAATACATCGCTAACTACACCAGAAACTATTTTTAAAAATGGTAATATTAATTATTTAAAGCTTTGGACAATTTATAAACAAGGCACTGATAAGGAAATAAAAATATTCATTGATCACTTTGGTGATTACAATTTGGAACTCTAATTTCTGTGATCCGTAAATATGTTTATTTAAGTTGCCCCTCGCCCCGTGAGAGCACAGTGACTGAGCAACCCGTCCTCTTAAAAAGAACGTCACTTTTGGCTGGTATGCGCGATATGGCTAAATTTGGACGTAATTTGAAATGAAATCGACTCACAAAAGTGACGTTCTGTTCCGTTTTCTATTTGAGTCGTCCGCCTTACGCGCAGAGGTTATAAGAGGACACTTTAAATTCACGTTTTTCATAACGTTTTGAAACTTTATGAGAATTTCCTGCCCACCTAACCTATCAGAGGACCCTTAACTTACTGTTGTTGAAAAAAGAAATCCCAAATTTATTTTAATTTTTTTTTCATTTTCAAATTACGTCCAAATTCGGCCATACGGGCAAACGGCCAAAAGCGACGTTCTTTTTAAGAGGACAGGTTGAGGACGCTCCAACAGATGGTGCCTAACTTATCTAAAAATTTGAATTCACATGGAATGATGGAATCCCTCTATTTTTTTTTATAATAGTTTCACTGAAATATGAGTCACTAGACGCTCCGACACCCGGGTTGTTTCCCGCTGGAAAAGAAAAAGGAATTAGCATACATTTAATGTCGCTATGACCTTCATACGTAAGCAAAATAATAATAATAATCCAAAGTATGTTGCTAGTTGGTCCAGGGTTTAAATATTAGTGTAATATACTTACATGATAAGTCGCGGACCAAGATTTAAAATCGTGCACTCCCCGTGGTGGAGTGTATAAGACAATCGCTAGGCGTTTCGCAAGCGCTTTGTTCAGGGTTCGTATCCTGACCGGGGAAGATTTACTGGGCGTCAATCCTTAACTGTAGCCTCTGTTTACACAACAGTAAAATAAGCACCTGGTTGTTAAACGATTTGGCGGGTTCCTTAGATGACGAGTAAATGCTGGTTTAATCTTGGCCTTGGTATCGTATTCCTGGTCAGCGCGTGTAGCTATAATTGGTTCTAGAATCATATTTACAATGAGAACATGTCGCTAATTGGTCCTAGAATCATA